CGGCAAATACGGATGAACGTAGAGATGGAGCCATGGAGGTCGGCGAACAGAGGTTTAGTGTTCGTTTTAGGTTTCAAGTCTTTCAACTAGTGAAAAGGAATCCGGATTGGCTCCCACGGAGTGCACCGCACGAACGCCCCACAGCACGTCTCAGCGTGCATTGGGTGGGAGATGTACCCAATGCACGGTTGTGATGTGATATGGGGCGCGCTCTGTGCGGAGCTAATGTGATCACAGTTAAAAAGTACGGTATGTAAAGTACTAAAAGTAAAATTTCTTAATTTTTGATAACTTTTTAAAGAAATTGGCTAACTATACAATTACTATTTTTTAAATACCCTTATTATTTTTCTTTTTTTTTATAATGAAAAATAAATAAAAGCTGAGAGAGTACAAATACAAATATGTATAATGTAAAACATAAATAAATATTATATATAATTAATAATTATTTATTATTTATTTTCAAAAAATTAAAAAAATAAATAAACATTATAAAATATATTTGCATTTGTACTCCTTTCAAATTAAACCAAAATGTCAAATTTGCCTTCCATCGTCTCTCAAACTTTAAAAGCAAAACCCTAATTTCTGAAAAAGAAAGGGAAACAGCAATTTCTCCACCTCCACAAACGGTTCTGGGTATCTTTGTCACTGTAAACAAGATTACGAAAGAACTACGAATCTGGGTCTGGCAGAAGTACCCCTAGTCTTTACATATTGTCAAAACACCTTCCTCTAAACTTGCTGCTGAATCTATTACCAGAAATTTCAGCAATTTATTTTTGGAAATTCCTCCTCTGAAACATCAACGGAAAAYCTTAATGCTGTGTTTGGTTGCAGTGCAAATTTATTTATACTAGTATAAATACATGAAAATGCAAATTTATATCATAATCAAACAAAATAAGTTAAAATTTGAAACAAAAACAGCCTCAAATCATTTGTACTGCCATGATTTTACATCAGTGTAAATTTATTTACATTGCAACCAAATACAGCCTAAAAGCCAAAGTTTTGAACAGTAATTGAAATCCAAACCCAGTCATGTCAGTTGGTTTCTCTCATTCCTTTAGGCTGTGTTTGATTTAAAGGAAAAAGGAACAAAAAAAAAAAAAAAAACAGAAAGAAAAGTAGGAAAACCTTTACAAGCCTTGTATAGATTTCCCAAGCATCACTGGTAGTCTTTAATCAGTTCTTTTATTTTTATTCTCCGTGGTGATTTTGTGTATTCATCTTTTGGTTTGGAAGAGATTAATAGCTCCAAAAGGCTAAATTTGGTGATCCATGCTGATATGTATATCCATCCATCGTCAAATTTTAAAGTAATTAAACTACAATGTTTAGAAGAAATTCGTGATCACCAAATGTAGCACCAACCAAATTGTAGAGCACAAAGTGGGTAAATGCACGTTCTGGTAGCAAGTCCTTGATTTCCTTGTTCTCTTTGTTAACCTGAATGTGAAGTCAAACAGCTAGGATTGGCTGTCCCCACGCAAGATAGGACTCCTGAAAGTAAAGAATTGGATGGGAAAAATCCAACAATTGCCATGTAAACAACCTGAATTAACACTGTGAAAAATCGCAAAATCACGTAGAGATCAATTATCTTGAGAGTTGCGGGTGTAGCGGTGTACGCCAAGCGAAGAGACCAGAACCGGAAGAGGGCTTGGGTATCCTTGGATGTCAACCTCGCCATACTTTTTCTGCTTCTGTTTCTCCGACGACGCCAACACACAAAATAAAACCTTCGCAAAGAGTTATATGTTCTTTTTGACGAATTGAAACAAGGATTCAACTTCAAAGTAGAGAGAGATCAGAGGAACTTCGAAGTAGAGAGGTGATTTTTTTGAAGATTGAACTTCATTTCTGGTTACTAAGGAACCGCGAATCTGCAAAGAGGAGGGGATTGTGGAGTGATGTTTCAGGCCTGTGGTGTTGCTGTCAAAGAAGAGGAGGTTGAAGAGAAGGAACGTGAGAAGTGAAGAGAAGAGAATTGGAGGACAGTGTTGGATTTTAAAAATAGTTATGCATCAGGTGTGTATGGATTTTGGTGAATTTGGTGGAACATTAACCAATCTTAATGACAGGGGTAAACCTCCCCCGTAAAGGGTAAAATATTTAAACCTTCCCTTCCTAACACCTAATAAACACATTCCAACACCCTCCCAACCTGATCTTACACCGCACTTCTCATATATTGCACGTCTCACTTTTATGGTGGATCCCAATCTTATGTAAGATGTAAAGTGCCTGATCATGGTGGGAGGGTGTTAGAACGTGTTTTGTTGGCATGTGTTCTCAACTCTAGAGAGTGAGAATTGTCAATGGATTGGATTAGGTAGGATCGGTCTCGAATCGATTATTAATCAAAATAAATTGTAGACTCAAAATCGTCCCAATTATACTTAAAATTATATTTATTTATTTAAATAATAACTTAAATTTTAAATTTTGATCATATAACCTTGATAAAAATAATAAAAAATACTAAGTTATTTATATGTTAATAAATTAAATATTTTTAACTAATATTATGTTATTTATTATCTATCAAATTTATCATTTCAAAAATAAAATATGATAAAATTTATAAAAAATTAAAACATATATAATAAAAAAATCGATTCCAAGTCTGAATCGATTCGGAATAAACAATAACTAAAACCAACTCAATTATTAGGACAAAATCACCAAAACCATCATAATCGATTCAATCAATTCGAACCCATCAGATAGGACCGACCCATTTAACAACTACAGAAAATCAGAAATCTCCTCTCACATTTGGGTTAAATACTTAAATTGTAGAAAGGCAACCCTTCCTTAGTTTGACATTAAAATGTTATGGAAAAAAAAAGATAATATTCATGATTTTAAACATAATGAAACTCTGATTTTGCCCATCATAATTTTTACTTGGCCGACGGGGATGGGTTTTGCATTACCATGGCCAAGTGAACATTAGAGGGTAAATTTGGAATATATGAAAAATGCAATTTCTTATTAAATGAGAAAAACAAGGGTATTGTGGTGATTTTATGTATTTTGTCTATTAGAACTAGACGGAAGAGGTTTATTTGTACAATTTACCTCAAGTGTGAAATGTAAGGAGAGGGTTTACATAAGTCATATTTTTACCTTAAAAATAAAATCTCCCATACATCAATTTTTTCATTTATGAGAAGATGTTCCCATTTATGGCTGCGATGTGTTGTGAGATGTTCTCAATCTTTCAAGCTTCGGTTCAAAAATGGATGTTCATCACGAAACACAAAAAGATTCTATGATCAAGGTTTTAATTTAAAATTATGAAATTTGAGTGTGAAATATTTTTGTTATTAAAGGGGGAAAATAGCTCAAAACTTGGAAACAAGTATCTTGCAAGCTAAAACTAAAAATAAAATGTTACACGCTTGTTGAGTATCTACTAATAGAGGTATAAATCGGCCTGTTCAGTCATGCTGTGTTGTGTTCGCCCATGGACCTCAAACCCCAAGCCCAGTATGGTCCATCGTACTAGACCAACTCAAAATTGTGTCAAGTCATACCAGGCTATGGGTGGCATGTTCCGGTTTATACCTCTATCTACTAATCTACTGTGCTTAGCGCTTGTTGATATATAATTTAAGTAAAAAAAAAAATAAAAGAATTAAATTGAGAATATCAGATAATAAATAAATATAGGTTTTCACTATAAGACACCCTCTACACTTTACCATATTAATTAAAACACCTCCTGCAATTTGTGTATTAATGCCCATTCTCTTTAATGGAAGTGTAAAATGACATTTTAGACCCCCCGGTGTCCACTCAATAGGGCTGCAACTTCAAATAAATCCATCTAAGTCGGTTCGAATCTGAGTTTGATCTGGTAAGAATCAGATTTGAATATCCTTATGATCCTAAAAATCAAATGGAATTGGGAAACCAGATCCATTTAGGCTATGTTTGGTTTGAAGGAAAAGGTGAAGAAAGGAAAAAAAAAGGTAGGGAAACTCATACAAGGTTTGTAAAGGTTTTCTTACCTTTCCTTTCTTTTTCTTTTCCTATTTTTTCCTTTAAACCAAATACAGCCCAAGTTTTCAGATTGAATTGGGGATATACCTTCAATTCTATCCAATAAGAGTCGATCTAATCTGTTAGTTATAAAATATTATATCTTAGCGGGACTCATATATATGATGCATGGGTTTTGTTAAAGCAAGAGATAAACAATAAAAATAGATAAGAGTATACAATTGTTTTATATTTTAATTTTTAAATAATTAACAATTATTTATATTTTATATTTTACTTTTATTAATTAACAATTATTTATATTTTATATTTTATGTTACTTTTAATAATTTACATGGATTTCCCGCGGGTCGTGCTGTATCGAGTTGGCCTGGCCCGTTTGACACCCTTATATCTATAGTTCAGAACAACTGTGGATTGTGATGTGGTGTGAATTGATCCGTACCACAAGGTGGTGTGGACTAGTTCACACCCACCACCACAAAACACTTCCTTAGTAAATAACACCTAAAAACAATGAAAGAAAACCTGTTCCATTTTGCTATGATGAACTCTTGGACTTAGGGAGGGAGAATTTCATGGACTCTTTGGACTAAGGAGTAGGGAGGGAGAATTTCATTTTCTTATGATAGGCATCGGAAATTATAGACTATGGAGTATATATACAGATAGGCAATAGCCATATGCTTGGCTTTGTTGACATTTCAAGTAACATCCTATAAGGTTGTTTTCTAAATATATCCAAACATGAATTTGATGTTTCCCCAAATGTCCCATCCACCTAAATCAAAACATTTCAGTTTTCTAATGTTTATTTGATAAAGGATATGAAACCAAACAACGGTTTTTCAATAAACGCCAACGTAACCAAACAATACCAAGTCAATATTCTCAACCTCATCTTAATCCGTATTTTACTGCCGCCACTGTGCTGCAGCTTCTCTCTGTAGTACACATACATATATACTGCAGTGGGAGTAGAGTATGAAATCAGTGGTAGCAGTTGTTTCTAATTTGGGAGGAGGAGAAACATTCTTGCGAGTTACGATTGAGATTGAGGGGTTTTGATTTGCTTCGTTCGAATCTGCGTCTCGGCATCCATGATTTATCAACCACATTCTCTGTCCATCCACTGCCTAGCTTCACTTTTCTTTTGTCTTACTCTAACCTAACCTCTCTCTCTCTCTCTCTCTCTCGTGTGGTTCTGAATCTACAAGATTCTCCGTTGCTCTTCTCCTTATCGCTATTATAAAAACGCCTATGCTCAAGTTGTAAGCATCCAAACCGAGTTTTTTCTGCATTGAAAAAGGAATAAAAATTGCAGAAATGGAGCTCTTTCTTGCTAAGCTAATAGCATTTGGTAATTAAATAATTGATTTGTTAAGTGTCTTTTTCTGCCTATACCCATTTTCTGCATATTCGTGGTTTGTTTTGATTATTTATTATTATTATTATTATTATTATTATTATTATTATTATTATTATTATTATTATTATTATTTACTGCTTTATGAAAGCTCCAATCCTGTTGCCATTTCTTAATTTCAAGTTTTTGTCTCGTGTCTTTTCAGATTTTACAGCTTTATATTGAGGAAGGGGATTTTAGTTGCAGGAGGCTGTCTCTCTCTCTCTGTCTCCATTCCATCCTCTTCTTTTGCTTCTTCGTTAATTTGAGAAGATCAGATCTAGTAAGATTTTTAGCCTTTTATTGATCGTCTCTTAATGGTTTTGATTGATACTTGCTGGAAATGATAGTTGGGTATCGAAGAAAGTTCCGTTTTTGGCGATCAACTTGGATTAATGGTCTCGCTATGCTTATGTTATTCAACTTGTTTGCGTTACACTTGCGAATTGCAGATCCGATTTGCTAATTGCTGTTCTGATTGGACTTATTTTCATTTGCTGTATCAGTTGGTTGCTTCTTAGGCTTTTCGCATGGGATCTGAAACTACAATCCTTTTTTTTTTTTTTTAATTTTCATTACCAATTTAGGTTGTTATTATTTTTTTTTTCTAATTTTATTTATTCAACTGAACTGCAGCAATGCCATTCAATAATACTTCCGAGGTCGATAAATTTCTACTCTCACACTCTCAGTTGAGAATGCTTAACTACTGTTCTATATTATCCCTTTTTATTTTTCGTGACCACCGTTTGTCGATTATTCAGGTATCCTTACATTTTATATCATCTAGAAGTTGATTGCCCGGACCCTCATCCTCCACCAATCCTATATTCAACCGTCTCATTGCAATCCTTCCTAAAATCAACTATTTCAGTCCTGATGCTTCTGTTATCTAAGACTATCCATATTTCCATATAAGGTTGACGTATAAATCAGCTGATTTCCATGATTTCCTGGTGCTAGATAATAGAGGAAAGTGATATCCACTATTTCAGACCAATGTTAAGATACAATTCATTGTAAAGGGTCTCTCTGAGAAGCACGGAAGACTGGAAGAGATATCCTGCTCCTTGTTATATCATACATGTCCCACATTCTAAGAGAGGATGCCCCGATTTAATGACCTCACATTGAGATCTTTTATGTTAGACACTTAGACTTGAACTATTTGGGTGAATGTAGCCATGTAGCATTATTGATTTTTTTATTTCACACCATGCTTCTTGTTGTCCAAAATAATATCTTATGTAGATTTGTTAAGATCACAGAATTTAGTTGATATTTGGTGCACCAGAACTTCTCTCTCTCTCTCTTACCTTTGTAATGGTGGGTTACAATTCTTTGCAAGGATATCATACTTCACACATACATGGTGGCAGGGAACAGGGCTTCTTCTCATTCCTGTTCTTATGTGAGCACATGTTTAGAAAATATTAGTTACCACTGAAAATGGACTTGGAATCAAGTAAAGTTCTTGCAAGTCTTCATTTGCCATTTTCTTCTAGTAATTATATATTTTTTTCCAGATTTATTTCATTGTTTTCCTGATATCCATGGTTAACAGATTGAATTGCGTTTCACTTTTTTTGTGTAATTTAGTGTTGATAATTCTTTCAGGTCATATTATGTCTACATAAGCCTATCATTAATTACAGAAATAATATGATAATCCCAAAGAAGTTGCATGGTGAATCTGGCTCCAATTTCTGGAGCAAGATATTGACTACTGAATATTGAAAAAGCAGCTGCTATTCATATTTGTGAAATATCTGGATGGTCAAACCTCAGATTCTTATGTGGCTCTTGACTGAGCAATGACTCAACTGCCTCCAACAATGGCTCTTCAAGAGTGGAAGACCATCAAACTGATTTATCCTGATGTATCAGAAATAATCTCATAGTGGTGAAATTCTCTTTAATTCAATTAATAATATCTTTAATTTTTTAAGATAATTTATTTTTTGTTGTCCTTTCTTTCCCAGTTTTTCATGATTTTCTCAATAGAGCAAAGATAATCTTGTTACAGCTTCCTTCACCAATTCTTTTTTTTTTTCATTTGTTAGTTATGACTACACTTTGGGAATAAGGACACATGTCAGACACATAAGATGTTAAATGAGTATAAAATATGATGTTGCATTACCACTATTAATTTATAAATATAACTGTGTAAGTTCCACTTGTCAGAGCAGTATGTTTCTATTATTGGTTGAAATAATACTGAAAATAGTCTTGCATGAACTTGCTTGGCACTTCATGCAATTACATATTTACAGTGGTAAAAAGCCACAAATAAGTGCTGTAGATGGAACTGAAGGTCTTGAATGGTGATCAAAGTATGGGAAATTAACAACAACTCATAATGGTTGTATTAAAAGTCAGGGATCACATACTGTTTGCTCTTTGCATCCTTTCTACCTTTCTGATAGTCAATTATGATGACATAAAGTGTTCTCATTGTTTATGATGTGTAAAAGAAAGCTGCTGCTTTTAATTTACCTATGCCTTTTGTTGTGTATAGAATAACATATTTTGCGTGCTCCAACTTCTCTACTTCTGTAAGGAGCTTGAGCCTGCAAAAGATAACTTGATAACAAACTTCTATGACATGACTTAAAGGTCACCATGTTATTCATCCCAGATCACAAGCTTTGATAACATAAAAGAAGTACCTTCTGTATATACTTCATTTAAGTTTGTTTTCTACCCCAATGATGGTGAAACATCTTATCAATAATACTTGCTGCTAAAATAAATAATCTTTGTCATTGTATTTGAATTTTGCAGATGGGGGATGTGGCTAAGGACCTAGCTGCTGGAACTGTTGGAGGGGCAGCACAACTGATATGCGGCCATCCCTTTGATACCATCAAGGTCAAGCTGCAAAGCCAGCCTACTCCACCCCCTGGTCAACTCCCTAAGTATTCTGGTGCCATGGACGCTGTTAAGCAAACAATTGCAGCAGAAGGCCCAAGGGGCTTGTACAAAGGTATGGGGGCTCCACTTGCCACTGTCGCAGCTTTTAATGCTGTTCTCTTCACTGTAAGAGGACAAATGGAGGTGCTGTTGAGGTCTGAACCTGGTGCTCCACTATCAGTTAACCAGCAAGTTGTATGTGGGGCTGGGGCTGGAGTTGCTGTTTCTTTTCTTGCATGTCCCACGGAATTGATTAAATGCAGGTTAGTGTTATTATTGGTTTTCTTTTTCATGCCCAAGGAAATCACTGACCTTCATATTTACACCATTCTTGCTTGCTTTTATGGTGGAAACATAGGTTGCAAGCACAGAGTGCTTTGGCAGATTCTGGATCTGCTGCCGTGGGAGTGAAGTATGGAGGGCCAATGGATGTGGCAAGGCATGTTCTCCGATCAGAAGGGGGCATCAGGGGTCTGTTTAAAGGTTTGGTTCCCACCTTAGCACGTGAAGTTCCTGGAAATGCTGCAATGTTTGGAGTCTATGAGGCTTTCAAGCAGTTCCTTGCTGGGGGTCAGGACACCTCAGGGCTGGGTAGGGGCTCTTTAATTGTTGCTGGAGGCTTAGCTGGAGCCTCCTTCTGGGCCTCGGTCTACCCAACAGATGTTATTAAAAGTGTCATTCAGGTAGATGACTACAAAAATCCCAAGTTTTCTGGCTCCATTGATGCCTTCAAGAAGATACTAGCATCTGAGGGAGTTAAGGGCCTCTACAGAGGATTTGGACCTGCCATGGCCCGAAGTGTTCCAGCCAATGCAGCCTGCTTCTTGGCATATGAGGTGACAAGATCTAGCTTAGGATAATGACCGGGTGTGATTATGTTGTCTGATTCTTTCTCACCAACGAAGGATATGGTGAACAATTGCATTCTTATCACATTTTCTGAAAACCAGTTCTAATCATTAATTGAAACCTTATTTTATCCTGAATTTTTTTGTCATACATCTTTTATCAGCATCACCTTCTGGCTTATGTGTTTTCTCTCCCATCTAGATTTTTAAAAATTGTCCTAATTTAAAGCATTGCCACACGAAAGGGTTTAGTTTTGACATGCAAGTGTGGTACTAAGGCTGAAACTTGCCTTGTGATGAAGGCAAGGCTGGTGGAGGGAATAAGCAAGATCCAGCCACCATGTAGATGTAGACAATCCTGGCTCATTTAAGATTTCCTGTGATTGTGATTTGTGAGTGGAAGTGGCCCTACTAGCCAGACTCTTCAGTATTTCCATCCAGCGAGATTGTGTTCCTGCAGCACAGGCTCATCCCTCACTTGGAACCATGCTTGCTAGGCCTGACTCGGTCTGTGACTGTTTACTCTCTGACTAAATTAGCACTGCAAACGCCCCGGATCGACCTACTACATGTTTATTTTTGTTTAAACAGTCAGATCATCTCCTTTGTGAATAAAAATAAAAGATTTACCAGTATAACTGAGTGTCCATATTTTGCAGATAAGGTCCTAAAAGAAAGAAAGTTGATCAACAAGGCCTATGGCCCCATGCCACATTTCTTATATAAATTGAGATTCCTTAATATGCTATTCCAATGGCTAGGATTTCTGTAGTCTGGATCATCCTACTACTGGGACCTTGTTAGGTTCTTGAATCTTGGATTGATTTGTAATTCTCTAGCCATATCACGATGATGTTGTGTGAAGGTGTAAGTAGTTTGATCTGTCTTCATTGAAGTATGAGCCTTCTTAAAGCCAAGGGCCGTTGATTCTAGAGTGATGCCAATTGCCAAACAGGGCCTAAGAGGTCGACTCTGCTCTCACATTTTGCCTACGAGTGAGTTTAGATAGGCCCATTGGCTATTATATTAGTTTGAGCCTAAGCATGACATTGAAGCTCATCTTTACATAATTGATGCGTCCAATATCTCATATGAGATTGTATCAGTGGCAAGAGGACTGATCAATTTAGGTGGTGTTTGGTTCCATTGCCATTTTCTGAGAAAATGGTGCCACAATGGAGCTACATCAGATTTTTAGCCGTTTTCTCAAAAAAAAAAAGACAAACATTTTGCCGTTTTCTCAAAAAACTGTTCATCTCAGAAAATGTCATTTTTGATGTTTTTACAGTTCTCTAAGGCTGTGTTTGGTTTGAAGGAAAAACAGGGAAAGGAAGGGAAAGTTAAACCTTTAAAAACCTTGTATAAGTTTTCCTAAGTTTCCCTTAGTTTTCTGGTATGGTGTCTGATGTGACTCCTACGTGACCGCAATAGCACCAAACGTTCTTTCAGAAAATGGAATATTCCACAATTAGATCTCTTTGGGCAGGCTTGGGATAACCTCATAACCCTACATAGGCTTGGGTGTTTGTTACGACTAAGAATTGGGATCTGTTCTTCACACAGGGCGCCTCACACTGACTTCACATGCACATCTCACCATGCATTGGGAATATTTTCCATGGAAAATGTTCCCAATGCATGGTGGGATGTGCCTGTGGCTAGCCTGAGGAGGTATAGTTAATTGTAGCTCCATATATTCTTTCAGGTTTGAGCTAACCATTGAATCAGTCTAACTCAACATATGGGCCAAAAGGGAATTTTCTATACTTTGGTTAGATGTTGTTGCACATCATTCTAGGGGATTAGAATTTCCTTGGAGGGTTCATTTGAATTCTACGACATTTGCACATTTCAGATATGAAACGGAACCACTTTAAAGAAATTGTTATCATGAATATGTATATCAGAAAAATAGATTTCCCAGCTAAAGTGAAAACAGTGCTTGTATTTTTTGTATATCTAACTTCTAAATTGCAGCGCATACTAAGATGGACCAACATCAGGATTCTGGTCCTACTAGTATGGAGCAACTGATCACAGTTTTCTCTTAACCTGTTTCTTTTGGCATTCTTGTTTGTTCATTCCTTACGGGTAAGGGTTTGAAGATGAAGCTCCAATCTGTATGATCAAGAAAGATGATGGAGCATCCCRGTTTGTTGATTTTAACACAGCTGAAGAGAGTCAAATTCAGAAATTTCATGTTATTTGTATCATTAACTAATACAACTTAAAAGGGTGAGAGCGGATCATGAATTGATCATATTGGGAGATCAACTAGGCCAAAACTCAGCTTGAAGCATGGACTCAGGTTTATGATATAAGGCAACTTGCTGCATACTAACAGTTTTGTCCATTCTAAGGTTGTGTTTGTTACCATTGCTGTTCTATCTCACAAGTTTTGGGTTTATCGATAAAATTGGTGAGAGAGATGTGTTATCATATCATATTGAGAGTCACTTCAGCTAGAATGATTAGTTTCATTGCTGTTTCTCCTCAACGTGAATTTAACAATCTACAAACTGACTCTCACACTCATTTTTTAAGATATACCTGTTTCAACTATAAACAGCCTCAAATAACAACTGCAAACCAATTTCTATTGATTAACCCAAAACGTATCAGATAGAAACACTAATGGTACCAAATAATACAAAATAAATAGTACACCAAAATTCAAAAACCATCTTATTTGTTACCATCATAATTGATTTCCCCAAAAATGCATTTTATAATTTTGCTCAAATCCCACTTCCACCAGGGTTTGGGGGGGGGGTGTTTAAGGGGATGGGGGATGGGCTACCCATTGTGTAGCCATGATGCAAAAAAATAAATAAATAATAATAATAATAAATTAAATAAAAAATGCTATCAAAGTAAATCACATATTAAAATATGTTTTATGCCTAACATTTTTTCATGTACTATAGTTCTTGCTTCACAATTTATAGTGGACAACTATGATTTAGTGTAAATTTTCAGGAAAAAAAAAAGATTGTATACATATTGGGAGGTAGAAATAAGTTCCCGTTACAAAAACACTCTTCAGATGGATAATTGTACTGTTGATTTTGGACCATATTTTTCTTGGGAGAATTAGGGGAGTCGCCAAAGTCAAAGAGCTTGTACACGTGCAGGACTTGCTTAAAAGGTTTGGATATAACTTTTAACCCAAAAGATTAAAGATATTAAGTTATGAGTCAATCCTTATACACAAGTCTCTTGCACTTCTTATCCCTTTCCAGTGTTGGACACAACCACTTACACATGTATATGATACCTGGCAAGTTAATAGTGACATAGAGGGCAGATAGAGTTTCCATGCTTAACATGAACCAAAATGGAGAGTTGCAGATCCTTCAAATTGAACCTTGAATGTCCATGCCCAAATATTAGGCTCAAAATTGTTCCCATTTACTTCACATGGAAAATAGTCATCATGGGTCTCTTCAGTGTTGGTTGGCATCTGATGAGGGAAGGGATACGATGAAGAAATTCATAGAGGGGGTTTTGTTCCCACCTGTATGATTCACAACGAGTTCACATCTCTGCAACCATGGGTGTACTCCCTTGTGACCCTCAATGAAACATGAACTTGCCAGCTATGGAAATAAATTCAAAACATTATGTCAACTGTTTTTTTTTTTTTTTTTTTTTCATTGCTGGTGCGTCTGTGTACCAATGAGTTATCATCTTTTGCACAAGGGTACAAAGTTGCATTTAGTCCAGATGTGAGATAAGGTTTGATATGCTGCAGCAATCTACTTAACAACTTTTGCGTAATCATCAATTAATGATATAGTTATTTGATGGTTCATAGCTAGTCATTTTCGTTTACCAGACAATCATAATTAAACAGTTGGGTTAAGAGATTTAATCATTAATTATGTAGAAGAAAGATCTACAAACACATAGTTGCTGCAGTCTTTCCGACATTATGTTGGAAAACCTCCATCTCCACCATTCAACAAACAAGTGGTAGACAGGCAGTTCAGTTCCAAATAATAATGACTAATCATTATTTCGGTGACAAGAAGTGAAGATCAACTCATAGTGAGGACTGGCCTTTTGTACTGGGTGACATAAGAGAGAGGATATTAACCACTGAAGCCATGGAACTAACGGCTGCCTTCAATACATCTTGTGAACAACCAGGTTTCACCAACTTCTTTACCTGTCATGAACATAGACAAAGGAGATTGTCTCAAGAGTACCACATATCAGATCACATAGGTAGAATTGAGGATGCAAAAGTTATCATTTCTAATAATTTGCATGCCAAATATCTATCAAGTTTAGTTGTAAACCTCCTCCATTGAAGTACTTTTGTTTGGAAGATAAAAATTCCTTCAGAATATGTAAAAAAGTACAATAGTATTGTTCAATTTTAGACCATTTGACATATAAAGATTTTCCAGGAGAAATATATAGAAATAGATGATGCTGCCTTCTGTATTCATGATTATGTGCCCACAATAGTTTGGTCATGCATTTAAATATGAGGTAAAATGCTGCATACTATCATGACTTTAAATTAAGAAAGACCCAAGTAGAAGAGAAGGTAAAAAGGTGCATGAGAGAACTTGGCTGTTGAATATTACCATGTCAATGTAAGTTTGCAACTCTTTTATTCTCCCCATGTAATCCTGGTCTTCAATACACAAAGTAATGGTTTTGCTATCAGAGCCTGGTCCCTCAAATTGAATGGGCCCTGGATTTCGGTAGAGATCATCCATCAAGAGCTTCTCGCCATTAAAGACCAACGTTCTGTTACCACCGCAAAAATGTCAACCCTGTGAAGGCTAGAAGATAAAGTCTATTGAAACCAACTAATGAAAACAATGGAATAGAGAAATGCATCAAAGATCTGTGAAGCCATTATTAATATTTTCTCACGATAACAAAGGATGACAACGATAGTAAAATAATGTTAAATAAATTAAAGAAATTCTAATGGAATCAAAACACTAAGGATAAAAATTAACAAGACAAGTGTTGTCAGTGAACTGTTTAATGAACCTCCTGTTTGATAGTCCAATTCAAACTATTCAATATGCAGTAAGCAAACTATTGCTTAAATTTTCTAAAAATCTATATTGTCTATGTAGTCACACTTACTGATTATGTTATTTCATAGTATTGTCCATGATAGATGGGGCCATGTGCGGAAATCTTTGTTGTTTTACTGACCTTTRATCTCCTATTTGCATTTACAATCAACTTAAACCCAGTATACCATTGAATCAAGTCAGTTTTGTTAGCATAAAAATGAAGTGATGAAGGAATCAACAAAATTATTATAATTTTGTGATGGACAAGATACTGTGTTTTATTAAGAGGACACCTTATTAAAGTAAGTAAAAGTAAAATTCCAAAACCACTTACTGATATGGTTTTCCTCTCAAATCTACAGGAGCTGGATGAATGGCTGGTTTTCCAATTGATGAAGCCCCAGGGCCCTGCGACCTCTTTACTGTCATCATGGCCTGCCATAAATAACATTGTAAATATAATGGAGGAATGCTATGTATGCAGGTCATTTTAATTTTTTTTAAGATTCCATTCCCTATATTATATGGTGATAGATAAAGGAAAAATTAGAAACTTCTCCTAACCATGTGATAAAGGAAATGAAAATAAAAAGTTAAAGAGCTTTCAGATTTTGAAAGGGAAACCTAAATTGTTTTGCAATATCAACCATATAAAATAAAATGGATCCAAGAAAATCTTTAGATGAAAGGACATACTCTCATTGGAAAAAAGATAATAAAGGATGTGTGTGCTCTAGATAGAAAAAAGAGATTTTAAAACCACAGAATGCTTTGGTTTCTCACATTATGGAAGATTCCAAAAACATAAATAAATAAATAAATCGAGTTCAATCATAAGACTTGTGGAAAGACAAGCTTTGGTTTGTGACAAAAAAGCCAAAGTTGATACATGGAATCAGGCAAGACGCAGGATATTACATTTCAAGGGCCAATAACTTCCTGTAGAGAACACTGATGTGGTCCCCACAGTGTTCGTATGGCAGCAATATTTCTGTTAGATATGACAGTGTTAGTTGGTAGTTATTCCAGTTAGTTATTTCAGTTTTATTATTAGTCATTTCTTATTCTATTTGCCAGGTAAGCAATAAGGGCAATTCAACCCTTTTACAATTAGCCAATAGTTATATAAATACTAAGAGTGGGTCGGCAGAAATTATAACCTTCCCTCTCTTTTTCTGAAACTCTCTTCGTGTACTTCTTCTCTTCCTCTCTTCTCTTCTTCTTCTCTTCAATTTTTCATCCTTTTTTCTTTTAAATTCAATATTGATTGTAGTCTAGATCGACTACTTGGTATCAGAGCCGACTTAGGCCGACTGCATGAGAACCTCCTAGGTTTGGAAGTTTTTCAACAAGGAGGATCGGCTGATTCTTGGAGGTTACTGGTAGTGTGCGGCTGCTAATAAAGAGATTGTAGAAGTTTGGGAGAGTTCCAGTAGTCAGGAAGAATCAGAAGAAGCTTTGGATCCTCAAGATTAGGGTTTTGCATCAACCAGAAGGTGGTGGCCAGAGATTTTTTCATAAGGTAAGCTTTTTTCTTGTGATTGACTTTAGAAAAGATCATCTTGGTTTAGTCTGAGAGGTGCGGCTGGAAAATCTTTGTGTTTTCTTTAGGGTTTTGAGAGAAAACCCTAAAATTCAGAACTGTTATTTGTTTCAGATCAGAATTTGAACTAGTTTCATTCAGAATTCTGTTTTCTATGTTCTTTGGAAGGCCTAAGCCGGTTGTTATCAG